GTTTTCCCTTGTTTGTCCTTCCCTCTTTGTGTGAGTGAGCCGATGGCATTCGCTGTTCGCAGGGAGGAGCGGTGGAACAAGGATCAGTTCTGGGGGTCATTTGTGTGCTGGGGACCGCCTGGGATTTCCATCCTCACCCAATGCCTTTGTCACCTTTTACTTTTCGGACAGGGCTTTGGATTTAGGGCCTCTCCGTGGCCACAGCGGTGGGGTCACAGTTCCACCTCGTGCTGTCCTGAGACGTACACAGTGTTTTTTATCTTGTTTGAAAAGGGATAAAATATTAGAAGCATTTGTCTGCCAGGCTGGAGGGTTGCAAGAGGCTGACAGAATGAAGCTGCTTGTTTTTTTTTTCCTCTAGAGAAGTAAATAGTTGCATTAAATTTGGTCACTTTAAGTCTTCCCTTGTAAGCAATAAGGCAGATCTTGCTGCCAGAGCTATCAATAAGCCTCTGACCCACAAATCGGCCTAAACCGCAGGACGGGCTTTGCGATGCTTTTAGTGTTTGTAAACGAAGCCACTTGCTACTGGAGCTGAGCTACAATGAGCTTGCTGTTTGGCTTTTGTTCGTTTTTGGTTTTGTTCGTTTTTATTTTCCTCCTTTTAAATACCCAGGGAGACTGGGGGTTATAAATTCGGCTGCCATAAAATCTGTTTTCAGCTGGAGCTGAGTGTAACTATCACTTTTCACAGACTTGGAAAATTTTCTCTAGCCTTTACATTTCATGACGTGGGATTGTGAGGTTCCAGTGCTTTGCTTTGCCTGTGTATATGGATCTCCCAGATGCTTTCCCAGGGCACTGCTGCCTGGGTCGATATTCTGAGGAAGGGATGTGAAAGAATGGAAGGAGAGCTGAGGATCTGCACGCATCCATGCAGCTCAAATCAGTTCCTGGAGAATAAGTTTGAAATAACTTCTGATTTCTTAGTGAGCTTAGATGAAAAGCATGGTGCATCTCAAGCGTCTCTCTGTGGTTCAGGGCTTTGCTTCCCACTCAAATCTGTAGCCTGAGTCAGCAGTCAGTCGGTTCATGAGGAGGAGATGGTAATTTTGTGTGTCAGTCCCACCCTGGGAATTCATGAAGGTAACAGTAGTTTTTTGCCTTGCAAATGTATTTTGATGTTTTTAAAAGCGGTGGGTGGAAGCAAATTGACTCACTCCTCTCATGTCTTGTTTCCCCCCCTGAAATCCAACTGTGACCTCAGCTTCTTGCCCCAACTCTGCTTCTGGCTTTTTTCTGGTGTGTGAGGACACTTCTAGCTTGCTTTCCTTCTGTTCTCTTCCTTCTCCAGTTCACAGCTGATCCTCGGCAGGAATCCATTCCTTTTGGTATTCTTACACGCCTGGAGAGATCCAGCCCATGTTTCACTGGAGTTTAGTTGAGGTTTGCTCGGGTGTTTTTTGTTGTCTTCTGTCCTCACACCACTTCATCTTTCCATGTGGTCACTTGTCTCTGGAGTTAATTGCTTGTGTCCTTGAGATACTGACGTACAGAATCTTAATCCCTTCCTCACGTGAAGGAGAACATCTTGCAGATAAGGACTCATAATGCCTGGATTTGCTGTCTTTATCACGAGTCCAGTTCCTTTCCTTACGACAAAAAGAACACATGGTAGGCTTTGGTGAATTCCTCTTTTGCTAAAAATTGAGACAACTGAGTTTGGATACAGAAACCATTTCAGCCCAAATAACGATTGGGTGGGTTCTCTATTTTGACCTTAATGAAATAACCTATATTTTGTTTCGGTAGCTGGTACTTTAATTCTGTTTTTCTCAACTTCAGTAGCACAGTCCTGGTTTTGCTTGAATGGATTTATTGTTTTAGGGACTTGCTCAGTGTTCTGGATCCAGGAATCAAAATGGCATTGCTTTGTCTTTTACTTTATGGCCACAAAATACTGCTTTTCCAAACGCTAAGGTGTACTTTTTAGGAAAAACAGCTTCTCTCTGATGTCCTATTATTAGCTTTTGTGGTTGACAGCTCTTCTTAAAATTTCTTGCTGCAATGGGAGTGGAAAAAACAAAAGAGGGCAAGTCTGAATATGAAAATTCATGGAACAGTTCAACTGACCTTGGGCTCAAGTGTCAAATGCTTAAGCTTAAATAATTCCAAAAGAGATGTGCTCCTGACTACGTAGGAGCAGTCATTCCCTCTCAGATGCTTCGGACCCCGGTGGGTTTTCCTGATAAGACACTTTGGAAGAGATAAGCAAATTTTCCTGACGATAGTTAGATGTGGCGCATACAGGATTTTATGAAATGTGGAGGTTGTGTAAGAAATACTTGGGGGTGAGATAATGCAGTGTATTTTTGGAAAGCTGTTAGATTATTCATTGCTGCCTCCTGTCCTTTCCTTCTTCCTGTTGTTCTCTGTGTCGTTTCTTGCCTCTGACAGTTGTTAGTTCCTGGATCCAGACCCCGTTTTGCCTATTAGTCCAAGAGGAAGTGTAATCTTCCGTCTCTGTTTGAGATTTTCTGTTGGGAAGTTGCCCAGTGTTTGTCCTTTGCCACGTTCCTATCCTCAGCCTGTTTTGCGTGGGGGTCACGGTAAAGGGCAGCCTTCAGAAAGTGCTGAAGTGACTTTTTCCCCATAAAAATTTGGTTAAATTCCTCCTTTAACTGCCTATTCCCTAAGCATGTTAAGCGATGGTTCTTTTTATTGTGTTTAAAAGGGTTGAAGAACTGTCTTAAACGCTTCAGTTAAGTCTCTTTTCCTTCCTTTAGAAATGCCCTGATTCGATTTCTTAGGTTGTGTGACTAGATTTGCTTTAGTCATTCATTAAGCATCGGTTTCCAAAAGCACTGATCAGCATTTTGGGAAGCCATCCATGTTCTGAGGCATGTTCTCCAAACACTATATTTGGTGTACAAGTCAGGATCTAATTTGATGCTAGAGCCAAGCTTTTATTATGGCAATTTATCACCCTCAGCGGGTTGTGGATGGCTTTCTGCAAAGCTCTGCTTCCTACTTGTAAATGTATTTACAGGGTGTGACTGTTAGCAGCAGCTTGGGCAGCACAGGGCATTAGTCACGGGCAGACAGATAATTCAGCTGGATGTCAGGAAACCTGCGGGGCAGGAGGAGCACCTGGCTGTGGGAAGCAGCGGACACCTTTTGTGCCGGACCCTGCTCCCTGTGTGTCACATGGAAAAAGTGCTGGAGTCCAGGAATCGCTGCTGGGCAAAACCTGCTGGATTTTTGGGGCACGCTGCCCCCTTGCCTCCTGCCCCAGCAGCTGGGGGATGCTTCAAGGGACTGGCAGTGGCTGGGGCTCTGCAGGCTGCTTCAGGATATTCTCAGTTACAGATCTTGAGCTCCTTCGTGCCTTGTTGCTCAGTTTTATGTACGGGGAAAGGGGAGGTTTAAGAAAAGAAAAGTGTGGTTGTGTCTGCTGAATGGTGTATAGGGTTTGTCCCTGCAGTAAGGAGGTTTGAACCTTTGTGGAAACCGAACTTGGAAAAATTGCTGCTGAAGTTGTGACTTGAGCTGGAGTTCATGCTGTGCTCTCCCTCTTGAGTAAGCTGATGCTAATTGGCAGAAATAAGGGATCTCTGAGAAAAGAGGGGAGCATTGGTGAGGAAATAGTGCTGTTGAGCTTGCAGGGAGCTTAATTGTGGGCTGACATGTTCAGAACAGTGAGCTCCATCTCGCAGGAAGAAACAAAGCAGTTGGAAAAGGAGTACTTCATGGAGTACTTCATGTTTCCTTCTTCAAAGCTCCAGTAGCCCGCTCTTTTAAACAAGTGCTACGTGAATATTGGGATATTAGAAGAAATAAACCTCATTTGGATTACTCCTTACAGTTCCACGGTGTGTGTGTGTGTGTACACAGTAAATGTTAATATGGAAATAGCCGAGGAACCTCAGTATGATTGAAAGGACCCAACAGAACAGCCAAGACTAAAATGTAGTGATGCATTCTAAAAAATATAAAATCTGTTTGTAGTAAGCTAGAAATTTTGTGGGTGAAGACAGCCTTGCGTTTGCCTCAAAGTAGTCAGTGGATTCCTGGGAGCGTGCAACAAAATATTTGGGATCACCTTGATTCCTCTCATGTTGCAGGATTTCAAATGGATGTCAGGAAGGGGAGAACATGCAGTGATGCTTGGGTCTCTGCTGCAAGCCTCTTTGTGGTATTTCAAGTTTGGTGGTCTTGAAGCTCTCAGAAAAAGTCTGTGGGAGACTTGGGAGACCAGCGACATCCATAGAATACGCTCAGCCAGCCTTTGGGGAGGCTGCAGCTCTGGGGAGCCAGCCACAACCTGGCTGGGTTGTGCCAGGGACGTGTTCCAGTTCCTGCACTGTCCCCATGTCTGCCTGTCTGTCCCTGCAAGTCAGGAGGGCACGACTGCCTGGCAAACTCAGATCCAAGCTTTTCTGTGAGGGATGCTTCTGGGCACTGCTGTTGGTGGCTCTGGCCTGCCCCTCTCTGTTAGTCCTGCAGGGAACAGGGCAGGAGAGGTTGAGTCACTTCCGCAGCCACTGGCTGCCTTGGGAGCAGTGGAATTGTGTTGGGAGAGCACAGCCGGGGCTCTGGTAGTATCCAGTGAGGGCAGCTGTGACTCGCTTTGTTTGTTTTGAGGATTTTCCAGGAGATGAAAGTGTATTAAATGGATGCGTTGTAAGTGAAACAAGGGAGTTTATTTTGGTTGTAAGCATAGCAAACTGATGATGATTTCCCGGTCATGGGATGGGGCTCTGGACGCTTGCTTGTTCCTTGCACTGGGAGTTGTGATGACTTGGGAGAAGGGTCGCATCCAAGTGGGTAAACAGCAGGAACACCATTGGGTGGAGTTGTAGCAGACACCAGCGCTGTAGCATAACACCTCCCGCTTGTTTACAGGCACTCTCTCAGCCTGCAGACGGGGAAAAGGGAGGCAGAGGGAAGCGTAGGTGCCTGGTTTGGCTGGAAAACAGGCTGTGGCCTCCTAACATCCTTGTGGATTTGGCACCGTGTGCCGCCGCAGGGCGAGAGAGCGAGGGCACAGGGAAGCGGCCGCTCCTCGGACGCTCATCCCCTGCTCAGAGCTCAGCCAGCTAAGGTTTCCCTGCAGGTGTGTTCTGGTGCTTGTAAGAGTTGTGCTGGACCAATCCCACGTCGGTTTGAGATTGCTGACTCTAAACTGTGTATGTAAAGATGCAGAAAAAAAATGCATTTTAGGAGTGTGGATGCATACGGGTTAGGTCGGCTTTGATGCCGAGGCGGGGTGGCTGGGGCAAGCAAAAGCAAAACTGTTCCTTAAGGCTACCTTAAATAACTTTCTCTTTCCTGGATGTGAATCATCTGATAAAAGTCTGTTCTTTTAACCTGTCGAGTCTTGTGTGTAATGGAACCTGTGTTTTTTCAGATCTATATGTGAGATTGGGCCTTTGTCATCTGCCATCCTGTGGGGAACTTCAGCATGTGAAGACAGCTGTTTTTCCTAGAAGGGGAAGCCAGATTGCAGTCCCCACCTTGATGGGCGGAGAATGAATAATCTCACAGAAACACTGATTTCCCTGTCAGTACTCCAGTGGAAGGAAATACCATAGCCCTTGAGAAGCATCTACAGGTTCAAAAGCCTCTGGAGGATTGAAGTTACTCTGTGGTGTAGGTGGTAAACAATAAACCCCACATATTCTGTTCCTACAGGAGTAGTGGCCGTGTGTCTGGGGAAATTTTTCAAGTCAGTGCCACTGATTCCTCCTTAAACCAAAACAAAAGCTCTAGGCCTGGAATTGCTTTCAAACCATTGCCTTACCCTCTGGGAGAGCAGCTGTGTTGTGTGAGGAGTTGGCAGCTCCTAGCTTGCTTCCCAGAGCTGCTGCTTGGGATGCATCCTGAGTTCTTGCCTTGCTTTTGTTACCTGCAGATGGAAGTGACTGGACTGAGACAGGCTTACTGCGATGCATGGGAATTGGATTGGACAAAATTGACTTCTTGGTGCTGTAAGAACTGAAGGAAGCGATTCTTTGCCCTCACACTGTCGTTCTTCAGGGCAGAAATGTTGTGACTATTCAGTTTTATAAATAGAAATGCTCAAGTTCAGTCTCATCACTGCTGATTTTGAGCGTGTTCAGCTTAATTTTACCTTCTGTCCTTCTGATGCTGTGGTTGTCACAGGGAAAAACGGGTTTAAAGGCTGCAGCTATTGATTTCATTGTCAAAAAGTAGCTGGAGCTTTTGGTTTAATTTCTGTGTTGACGTGTTGGCTGGTGGAAACAAACCGATCTTGCTCTGATGTTTCTATTCTTAGCAGGATGTTACCATTTGAAGGGCTGTATTATTGTTTAAAGGCTGGAAATGTTTGCTTTTCTGGAATTTGGGTCTTGCCTTGGAGTGTTTCTGTGTTTAAAAAGAGGCACAGCAGGAGAAGGGAGACAAAGAAGTGCAGAGCTAAAACTTGGGGGCTTCTCTGATAAACTCACTCAGCCTGTGGCAGGGAGTTGCTGCCTCAGTTTCCCTGTGTAACGAGACACTAATGGTCCCTGCTTCCAAGACACTTTGTGAGATTAATTAATGCTTGTAAAGGCGTTTGAAAGTGAAAAAAGCAGGAGTTCAAAGAGGATAAATTTCCCTGCCCTGCGTGAATGTTATGTGCACGGTCTCTGAGTTCAGCTTTCTGAGAATCCCTTTGAGCTTTCCCCAGTACTTTGAAGGGCTTGTTTCAGCCTGGCCATGGTGCTGATGGCTTTGGGGAGACACTGAGTGGTACAGCTGTTCTTCCAGGAGTTAGTCACTCCCTCCTTACCCCAAGGAAGGGGCCTTCAGCGTTATGGATCAGGGAGAGGAACGTGGATGGCAGGTGTACGCTGAAAATGCTGCCACTGCACAGCAGCTGGGCGCCTGAGGTTAGTTCTGTGCTGAGAACAACCTGTGAAGGGGTAGCTTTTATGGATAAGAAGCCTCAACTCACCTGGTTTAATTCGGGTTTCCCCGAATCTGCTGCAGACTTGGTGGAAAAGGATAGAAATCTGTGCTGAAAGGCCCTGTGGACAAATGGTTGGGAGTGAGGAGGTTTAAGCTAGGCCAGCCCAAGGGAGAAGTTACTGGGAAGTTTATCAAGAGCTGAGGCTGGGTATTTAAGCTGCTGTGAGCACACCTGCTGTGTTTGAAGCTGAGATGAGCTGTTGAGGCCGTGTGGGGTGAGCAGAACACCTCAAATTTTTACTGTCTTCTGGAAACATCCTCTTCCCAGCCTGAGACAGAGCAGCCTGCAGAAGGTGCATCACAAAACGCCGCCGCTGCCAGCGGGCGAGCGGCTGAGATGACAGCTGTGGAGGCCACACCGTGTTCCTGCTTCCAGGCGAGCTGCGTGGGCTGCTGCAGGTGGGGAGGGCTTGCCGAGGCAGCCTCAGACACAGCTCCTCATTCAGCTGCAGCTGGCACTGCTGGGGCTGCAGCTCCCTGTAAAAATAGAAGGGCATGGTTTGCTTCCGACGTGGGAGTGAAGGGAGCGAGGCGTCCGTGGAATCGCGGGAATTGCTGGAGATGTCAGTTCTCTGTGCAAGGATGCGTGGTGGTCATGGCACATGGTGGGGATGGAGCAACGTGCTCCCTGTTCCCTGGCCTTCTTATGTCCAAGCAAAATGGGATCTTCACTGGTTGCTCTGCCCCCTCTCACTTCTGCGTTAATACGTAGCAGAGCTCAGAGACTCTCAACAGGAAAAGGCGGGTGCTGCCTGCTCTCTGCGAGCGTTTTTAAACCTCGACAGAAATGGCCAGTTCCATTATGGAATGTAGCTGAAAATAAAGTGTCACCCGTGACCCAGACATAGGTGATTGTGTGTGTTATTGGCCACCAGGCAGAACTCTTTCAAAGTTACTTTTTTCACTGATTGCTCCAGGAGTTGAGGAAATAGACCTGGGAAAAAACAACTTTCTGAATCTGTCACATGAAACTGATTGGCATAACAGGCAAAAATAATTTTTTCTTTTTTCTTTTTGTTAAATAACAGGAGAGCTTCTGGACTACTAAAGTAACTGGAATACCATTTATTCATGCAATATTTTTAACCAGACTTTCCAAGAAAAACCACATCCTATAAAGATTTTGGCTTAGAGAGGCTGCACGAGGCTGTCCCTGAGCTGTGTCTCAGGGAGCGTGTTAACTGGCCTCGGTGAACTGCACAAATGCGTGGAATTCTGATAATTTATTGTTGAAACTGCAGGTATTTCCATAGCACGTGACGACTGCCGGGCTGCGGTTTTCCCAGTTACTTTTCCTTTTGGATGCCTGCCTGCCTGCCTTTGGTGTGACAGCGTTTCCTGCTGTTTTAGGGTGGCTGTGCTGCCTTTGAGAGGCAGGCATCAGAAAGGTGTTGGAGGCTAAGACGGGACAGTGTGGTGGTTCATTCTGTTGTTACAGACTTTGACGGCTTCTGGGAAGAACCCCCCCGTGTTTCTGGGAAGGGGAGAGCAGGGATTAAATGCTACCTAAAGCTTTTTCCAGCATGTTGCATTTTCTGCTTCCTTGGCCGTGGTTCTGTGCAGGCTCATGAGCTGGGGTGGGTACGGTGAATTCTTTGCCAGAGTTTCTCAGAATAAACTACTAATTTAGGGAATTCCTTCACCATGCTTGCCTTGTGCTCTATTCCCAAGCCCTCCTCCCTTTGTTGGGCCTACTCTTTGTGCTAAAATAGAAACAGTTCCTTGGGTTGGTTATTTCATAACCTTTTCCCAGGTTGTGTTTAGCTCTTGCTGGGTTCCTTCTGCTTACACTGACACATGTGGAAAGATAATGATCCCAGTCTCTCCTGCTCTCCAGATGTCTGAAGTTGTATTTTCACTCCTCATGTTGGCAGAGTGCCTCTGAAAGTGGCTGTGTTCCTGAAAAGAAAACATTTGGGTTTAAGTTAAGTAGTCAGTCCAGAGATTTGGGGTTTTTGTTTGTTGGGTTTTGTTCAGTTTCCTCTTTGTTCAGTGCTGGTTTGAGAGTGGCCTGGCACCAGCTGCAGGTGGCTGGAGGGGTGGGAGGTGATGGCGACTCCCTGAGCCACAGAAGCTTCTCACTCCCACGGGGAGGCAATTACTTTACTCAGGATTTGTGTGTCTGGTATCCTGGCTTGGGGAGAGGAGAGGATGACTAGGAGCAGCTAGAAGTGTCCTGTAACAGAAGAGACGGGAGCAGGATGTTCCCTCCTGCTCCTCCTGGCTGCATTCAGCAGCAGGCTGCGCTGCTGTTGGTCGGGTGTCCCTGTGAGTGTACTCGGCTGTGCCAGCCCCCAATCCCTGCAAGTCCTGCCAAACCCTTCTCCGCACCACCCATGATCCAGGGTTACTTCAGAGGCCTGTGGGAAGGGGAGGACGCTGCCGCTCCTCTGGAGCCCTGGAGAGAGCTCTGGGACCACAGAACAGAATCCCAGAATCCCAGGATGATTTTGTTGGAACTGACCTCAAATCCCGTTTGGTTCCAAACCACGCGCAGGGACACCTTCCACTAGGCCAGGTTTCTCCAATCCTGGCCACAGGATGCTTCCAGGGATGGGGCAACCTGGGCCAGGGCCTCCCCTCCCTCTCCGTGGGCAGCGTCTCCCTAAGTCAAGGGTTTCTTTCTAGAGTAAAGAGAGACAGCCCCTTGCACCCTACCAATTGAAAATATTCTGTTTGGTCCTTAGAGAGATGGTGAAACGTTGGCCAAGTCTTTATAGGAAGAAGTGAGATCTGGATAATATTTGTAATGAGAATTGTGCTGTCTGGGTTTCACAACTTTGCACTTGCATTGGAATTCAGAGCTCAGTTTGCCTGTTCTGGCAGAGGCCTTTTCTCAGCTCATACACAAAACTGCTCAAATTCTGACTCTTTGGACACTTCCCTGCAATTATTTGATTTTGCACGTCATGATTCTGACGTGCTAGGGGCTCACGTGCCATCCGGGCTCACTGCCACGGTTTAAAATTAGAGTGTCTAAACGATTTTTGTAAGCCAGTCCAAGTTTTTCCAAACAAAATTTTGGGTAAGGAAGTGATTGGGTGAGAAGAAGGTTTAAAAAGAGTCAGAATACCTTCTGCTTTAGCCATCCCAGTTTTTGGTAAATACCCTGTTGCAACATGAAAAGATGTGAGTGGGTAAAGTATCTAAAGTTAATCCTGTCCTTCCCTGGGCCTGGTCTGCTTGTTTCCTTTTTACTTCCTGTGAAGGTCTCTAAATATCTCCTCTCTCTTCTGCAGTGGTAGTCGCTCTTCCAAAACCTTCAAACCAAAGAAGAATATTCCCGAGGGGTCTCACCAGTACGAGCTGCTAAAACATGCTGAGGCCACGCTGGGAAGCGGCAACCTCCGGATGGCTGTGATGCTTCCAGAGGGGGAAGACTTGAATGAGTGGGTTGCAGTGAACAGTGAGTTGCTGGCCTTTTCTTCATCCTGGGGGTGTTGAAAGTGGGCTGACACTTGTGGGAGGACAGCTGTGTGTCCCTTTCTATTCCTGGAGAAAAGGGGGCTTGGGGGACCTTGCTCTCTACAGCTCCCTGATGGGAGGGTACAGCCAGGTGAGGGTCAGGCTTTGCTGCCAGGGAACAGGGACAGGGTGACTGGAAATAGCCTCAAGGTTCAGGTTGGGCATCAGGAAGAATTCCTTCATGGAAAACGTTGCCAAGCCTTGGAGGTGTTGGAGTCCCCATCCCTGGAGATGTCCAGGGGACAGCTGGAGGTGGCTGTCAGAAGGTGGAGGTCAGCCACAGGTTGGACTTTGATGATCTCAAAGGGCTTTTCCAACCTGAATGGTCTGTGATTCTAAAGGAGTTTGTAATTTTTCTAAAGTTAGTTCCTTTAGTTCCTACCACATTTTGAGCCTTTGCTCTGGTAAGTCTCTGATGTCATTGTTTTCACTTCCTCTAAAGCTCTTTGTCCAAACTCTCTGCTTTCAGGCCAGACAATGATGCCTAAATTAGCATTTTCTGATTGTTTGACCTTGTTTCCTCCTCCTCCCTCTCCCTGCTGCATGAATTTTGCCCTCTGCTCCTAAAGAATGGATTCTCCTTTTGCACTCTGTAGCCTGTGCAGTTTTGGCTGACACAAGCTCTGTGCCCTGTCTGGGTGTTTGCTCATCTTTTGCCTCTCGGGCTTGATTGGGCACTGCTGTAGAAATGATGCTTGAGTTAAATTTCTGTGGTTCTGCATTGTTTCTTCTTGCTCTTTGACATGTGTGGGAAGTGAAACCTTCACACTGACTTCCACCTTCCCCTTCCCAGCCAGTCGTGCAGTGCTCTGCTGCTCCACTTGCCTCTGTTTCCAGGGCAGGCTGGAATTGCTGACACCATCCTTTGCCAAAGCGAATTCACACTGCATTGCAAAACTTGACTAGAGAAAAAGCCAGCCCACTTGTGTGAGTAAGCATTGCTAAAGATGCTTCATATACTGCTGGCATCCTTCCCTTTCGGTGGTTCCTTCGCTCCGTGTCTCTGCTTTCCTGCGTGGCTGCAGTTTTTCCCTTCCCGAATGGCTGAGCTGCTGAATGAGCTGGAATGAAACTGTGGCTGTGTAATTAAGGAGTGAGCTTCTGCCGTGCTGCTCCCTTCCCTCAGCATCCCTGCACGGCTCTCTGCTCACAGAGAGGTGTCCTGAGGAGACAGAATGTGTGACTTGGAGTCGTTGCTTTCACCCTTCTCGGCCCTGAGAGCACAAAAACCAACCTGCTACCTCTCGCTGTGCTCTCAGCCCATGATGGCGGGTGTCCTAGGGAATGGCTTGACGTGCCTGGGGATTTTGAGACTTCCAAGTGTGGGATTTGCCATAATCAGTCTTTTTCCTGGAGCCCGTGTGGGTTTTCTGAACATGCTTGCCTTGAAGCAAACAGTGGGCTGTGGTTTCTGCTGGGAGCAGGGAGTGGAAACTTAATTAACAGCTCCTGTGGGCACTCGAGAAGCGAGGGCTGGGGTTCTGCCTCTGCTGAGCAGTGGCTGTGATTTGCTCCAGTGACATTTGTCTAATCCTGGCTGTTCATCCTCTGAAATATACCTGCAGGTGAAGTGGGTTTTATAAATTGCAGTGAGCACAGTGCCTCAAGACAGAACCTGCTCTTAGTTATTGAAAAAGAATCTTCTTTTCCAAGAGTTTGGCGTAATTAACTGAAAGAGTAACTGTAGCAGCAGGGTTAGATGGGGTGTCAGGAAGAAATCCCGCCCTGGCAGGGTGGGCAGGCCCTGGCACAGGGTGCCCAGAGAAGCTGTGGCTGCCCCTGGATCCCTGGAAATGCCCGAGGCCAGGCTGGGGTGGGCTTGGGGCGACCTGAGGTAGCAGAAGGTGTCCCTGCTCATGGCAGGGGTGGAACTGGATGGGCTTTAAATTCCCTTCCCACCTGAAGCAGTCTGGGATTGCGTGAAACGTTCTTGGGAAAGGTGGGCCTTTGGAATACTGATCCTGAGGGAAGCCACTGTCCCCTAGCGAGTACCTGCTCCTCTCTAGCTGAAAAGCTTACCCTGAAAATCTTTCTTTGATTCCACACTTGCCAGCAGAATTTGGGGTTCTAATAAAATGCACCAAACTTGGAGTCAAGGAAGTAACTAGGCTTTCTCCTTCCTTTTTGTTCTTCCAGCCGAAGATTTTGCTGCAGTGAACAATTAAATAGTTCTTGCTGGAGGCTGTTGCAGAAAGTTGGTGGTTGCATCTCTTTTGTCACAGATCTTAAAAAAGCAACAGCAATGACGTTTTTTTTCCCCCCAAACCCATTCCAGAACCCCTGCTTTGCAGTCTGGCCCGTAGGGATCTCGTGCTGCAGAGTGCTCAGGGGTGCTTTCTGTGCTTTTCAGCTGTCGACTTCTTCAACCAGATCAACATGCTCTACGGAACCATCACGGACTTCTGCACGGAGGAGAGCTGCCCCGTCATGTCTGCTGGCCCAAAGTAAGAGCGTGTCCCTCACACTGTTGGCAGTGGTGCAGTTGTTGTGAGATGATTTTTTTTTTTTTGTTTAAAATCTTGAGACTAGCTGAGACGAGTGGCTGGAGTTGGGGGGCAAGGATGTGAAAGAGAAGAAGAGTTTGAACCTCTGAACCTCTGTTAAGGGGGTGGGGAATAGAATGTTTTTGTGGTTTTTTTTTTGGGTTTTTTTTTTTGGTCTGTGTTTATATTTGTTTGGTGTTTCTTTATTGTTTTCTTTTAACCTGGAAAGTAAATTAATTATCAAAATTATATTTCTTCCCCCCCCTTTTTTTTTCTTTTGAAACATTAATGAGGCCTTCTTAAATGAAGATTTAAAGTTTTTATGTGCAGGCATTTCCATTAGGGCTTACCAAAATCCTCCTTGTAGGTACTGTAGAAGTAGTAGATGTCTGGGTAAGAATCCATGTGCTCTTCTTGGATTCTTGCTTATGCTTTTGTGGAGACATCCAGTGTTTGTGCTTTTTTCTGCTCTCTAATTCAGCTTGTTGTTTTGCTCTGGCTCCAGGCACCTGGATCCTGGTGCCTCAGCTAAGCGTTGATATTTGTCCTACATGAATACCGCTTAAATCTTGGTATTAGGGCAGTACTGGATGTTGGGAAATCCTGTTTTTTCATAAATCCGGAAACACAGTCCATTTGGTGTGTCTTGGATTTTTTTATGTGTTCTTAGATGCAATTTTAACATGCTTTCAGACATTCTGGTTTGTTGCTGTTAGAAAAATGGGGTTTTTTTTTGCCCCATTGTGAGCAGCACCTTCATAATCCCTCATCAAATTTGTTTATGGTGAAAATTTTCTCCCAGTAGTTGTTCTGACAACACTGAATTTGCTAAGCAAATCGAGGGGACAGATGTATCAGATGCAGCTGGGCTTTGCATGAAGCCACACGTGTGACCTGTAACATCCAAACCCTGTGGTTCACCTGGGAGCTGGTACTGTCAGACTCCCCCTGTTAGGTGTGCTTGGGGCTTTTAAAGGAATATCTTTCCAAGCTTATCCACACTCTGGGCTGGTGTCAGCTGCATTCCCCAAGCCAGGCAAAATATCTGCTCCCTTCTGAATTTGATGAGGACTCCTTTCTGTCTGGATGTGTAGGTAGCCTAGAAGTTGTCTTAACCACAGAATCAGAATCCCAGACTGGTCCGAGCAGGGAGGGGACCCTAAGGCTCATCTGGTTCCAGCCACGTGCCATGGGCAGGGACACCTTCCACCAGCCCTGATTGCTTCAAACCTCTTCTTTTAGCTGGAAGGCATTTTATATCAGTTTCCAGTTTATAACAGCGTACCTAGGAACCTACCTGTGCCTGTAGAAGAGGCATCATTTGGGATCTCTGGCAAGAGCTAACCTGGTTTGGCTTTCAGCTACACAAAATTCTGTAAGGATATTTTCCAATGTGAAGAAATCCCCTAAAGTGGAGGGGCCTGATGCGTGTGCTGCCCTGGCAGGCCTGGCTGAGGTTTGGGAAGGCCTGCAGGAAGCGAGGGAGCCAGGAGGGCAGCGGGGAGGGTGTGGGAGCAGGAGGAGCAGCCCTGCAGGCCCGTCAGGAGCGGTTCAGAGGTGCTGAAGGCAGTATCTCACCCCAGGTACGAGTACCACTGGGCAGACGGCACCAACATCAAGAAACCCATCAAGTGCTCTGCTCCCAAGTACATCGATTACCTGATGACCTGGGTCCAGGACCAACTGGATGATGAAACGCTGTTTCCTTCAAAAATAGGTGAGTGAGTTAGTGGCTGCAGCTGAGCAGCACCCTTGGGTTGCACAGGAGCATGAGAAGGTCTCCTTAGTGGTTGATACCTAGGGCAGGTTTGGAAGGTTACATTATCTATCTAAACATGCTTATCTTTTAAGGTACTTGTAATGCATGAACTCTGTTCCAGGTGTTAGTACTCCTAATGAACTCCTGTCACAATTCTGGATGCAGGAAGGACTGATTCTAACAAATATCTTGCTCTGTTTATCGAGTCTGGATAAAGCAGAGGGTCTCAGACCCTTACAACCAGTAACTGGCAGCTTCTTGTCAAAGAAGAGATGTTTGGTTGTCACGAGGAACTTTCAGGCCTTCTCTCCAAAGAAGCTGAATTGCAGCTTTGATCATAAGTTGTTGACTTTTTATTTTTGCTTGTTTTTTGTTTTTTAAGTGGGAATGTAAAATAGATGTTTTAAAGAGGCTTCTGTTAGAAAAGCAGGAGGGAAATAATGACCAACCAACAGTTTGGAAAAGGTAACAGGGGAGATCTCTTAGTTGCCTTAGTTTTGTAACTAATTTCTGAGGCTTTTGACACATTTTCATTAATCATCTTTAGAGAAAGGGTTCCTTCAGAGAGACATCCAGACATTACAAACTAACCAGCTAAGTGTGGATTACCCCTGGGCTGCAGCAGCCAGAGGAGCAGATGGGATCTACACGTGTGCAGGGCAGGCTGAAGCAGGAGCATGAAAACATTGGTGGTGGGAGCTGAGAGCATTGGTGAGGTCCTGACTGGCCTCAGAGCACCCAGAGCTTCACACAGGGCCTGAGCACTTGGAGAAGAGGCTGCAGAAGAGCTGGGCTGACTGGGGAGACTGGTGGGTGAGGAGAGGCTAGACAGGTTTCCTCTTTTCAGATGGTTGACACATATCTTTTTTTAGCCTGGGGAAGTGACAACTCAAGATTTCATCGCTCCCAGTAGCCGGTTGCCGTTTCCCAGCTGATTTCAATAAAACTTGTGCAGTGACAAAGATCTGCTGTTGAAACTGATTTCATCTGTCCTGGATTGTAGTGGCTTTCAAAACAGGCAGACACAGCCTGGGAGTTGAAGAATAAGCCGTCTGTTTTGTTCTTCCCAGGCGTACCATTCCCAAAGAACTTCATGTCAGTGGCCAAGACAATTCTCAAGCGTCTCTTCAGAGTTTACGCTCACATCTACCACCAGCACTTTGACCCCGTGATCCAGCTGCAGGAAGAGGCACACCTTAACACTTCTTTCAAGCACTTTATCTTTTTTGTTCAGGTAAGGACTTTGCAGACAGCGTTCTCGTTTCAAAGCTACGTTATCCCCCTTCTCTTGTGGGGAAAAAATCAGCATCTTCTTAGTTTTCCTCTCTTTAAGAGGGAGAAAAAGCTTCAGGGAGTGGAACACTGCTGGTCAGCGAGTGGTGGGTGGGCAGGGGAGGCTGTAGTGGCTGAGCCTGGGCTTGGAGAGCTGAGTGCCAAATGAATTCTGGCTAAATAGGGCTTCTCACCTGAGCTGAACCCACAAAACTCTGTGTGTGTGTCTTTCTGCTCATCCCTGTTACAGGAATTCAACCTTATTGATAGAAGAGAACTTGCACCACTTCAAGAACTGATTGAAAAGCTCACCTCCAAGGACAGATAAAAGGAAGAGGACTTCTTGAAGTCACTTGTTTCTTTAAGCAAGCGTGTGGTATTTGTTTTTTGTTAATTTGTTTTTTTTAAAAAAAAAACAACAACAAACCAACCCCCCTGTGCTGTTACCAGTGACAGCTGAGATCTACTTTCTGTGCTTTTGTTAGGGGAAATCTTTTCTCTGTTAGTGACATGTGCTAAATAGCTCTTTTTTTTTATTACTATTATTTCATTGTTGTAACTCATCGTGGAATTTCTAGCAGGTGCTGAGTGTTTATAAAGGAAATGTGCTTGGCTGGGGGGATTGACTCTGCTGGTGGATGGGTTCTTGTGTTGTGTCAGTGGTAGCCCATTCTCATGAAGTCCCTGGAAGACTTGCTTACTTTCTCTAAGTGCCTTGGCAGACTCACTTCTGAGGTGCAAAGCACATACAATACTGAACATTGCTGGAAACAGAAAATATGTACTAACACCCAGACACTTACTGAAACTCGTTTTAAAAATATATATATATATATCTATGCTTACACTTAAAAAAAAAAAAAAAGCCATAACTTGCTGAAATCAATGATCTCCAGCTTTTAATACAAATACTTATCTTATTTTTTTAGAGACAAATATAGAATTTTTCAGAGCTAGATGACTTCTTACAAAGAAAAGCAAAGTTCTCGCTAAAGTGGGACGGCGAAGGTGGTGTCAAAAACTACACAGACCTTGTGCTTAGCCAGTAGTTCCATGTCTGCTGCCATGGGACTCTGCATAGTTGCTTTTATTTTCTTAGCAGGAAAGCATCAGTTGGGTCAGCCAGCTTGTTAAGTTCCCCTAGCAGTTGCCAAATGGACAGGTAGTTTGCACAAATACAATTAGGGAAAATATTCCCTATAAGAATTTGCACTGGGATAGTAGTAATTATAATAGTGAGGAAAACCTGGCTTGAAAAATAACTGGGGGAAGGGTGTTTTTTTAAGTTAGTAATGCAAAGCCTGGCTCTGAGGAGGGGCTCTGGTGGCCAGTGTTTGCTGTTTGAGGAAATGTGTCTCGGAGGGGAGATAATTTCATGGGCTGCTTGGGAATTAGGTTACTGTGGTGGTGTTCTCCCCCCGTTTAAAATCACTGCCCATCTCCAGGGAGCTCCAGCGGTTGGGAATAGCGACAGGATGGGGTGAGGCCGAGGTGAGCACACGACAGAGAAGCTGAGCTTCTGTTCTTGCGCGCCTCTGCTCAACCAGAAACACCGAGTGGGGTTGGAGCTGGCGTGCAGGAGCCCGCAGGGGAGGAGAGTGGCCATTGGCACGGGCAGCAGGGAGCAGCTGAGCACAGGAATGACTCACTTGGGAGCTGCTGGCTTCCAGTGAGGCATCCTGATCTTCCGGCTTGCCCTGTGCCAGCCTCCACCCGACAGCGCCGAGGTGACCGACTGCCCGAATGCCAAGTGCACGGTTTGCACACAGAGGGAGCGAGGCAGCAGCTCCCAGGTGCTAAACAGGTGGTGTCCCCCATTAAATTTCAGGGTGACTCCTTGGTTCGGTGCCGTGTGCCAGCAAGAAGCAAAAAGGGATGAATGTGTAGAGGTGTGAGGATTTGCTCGGACACGGCAGTGCGGTGGTTCGCGTTCCTGGCGCGCCTCTGCCCTAGGAGGGCTTGGTTCTCGTTGTTGTTGCAGTTTTTTTTCCTTCTGAGCAACCAATTCTAGAAATCCAGAGGCATCTGCTGCAGATCAGCCAATCAGACTTGGAATGTACTGAGTGTAAAAATGAGTCCTAGGTGGATAGTGTGGTTTGTTTTTTTTTATTCAATATCTGGCAGTAGAAGGTCTTCGACCGAATAGTTTCTAGGCACGTAATAAAAGCTTGGAGATCATGATTTGCCTGACAGCTGTATGAACACATTGTTTAATTACACAACACTTGAAAATAACATCATTGAGGGCGTGTTTGCAGTGGTGGGGATTTAGGATCCCCGTGCTGTTTCTTTTTGCAGCTTTTCATTGTTGTTTTGCTTCTGAAAGCTGTGTGGGACCAGAAGTTGACGTGTGTTTACACTCTCGGAGTAAGGGCACGTGGAAATGCCACTCAATGGAATCTGGATCGAATGAATGTGTTGATAAAATAGTGCATTTATGGGAGGAAAAGGTGGGGGGACGCCCCCTGCCCCTCTAAATCAACCCCAGAGAAACAAACTCTGCGCTGCTCCCGGCCCCCACTACGGACTTGGAGGGGCGACGAGCACTCGGAGACAAAACCTTCCAGCTTTGGCCGTGGGGAGCAGAAAGTGCCAGTGGGGTTGAGCCAGGCTGTGCTTCCAGTGCTGCCTCAGGCCTTCCAGCCTGGTAGGGCCCTGAATCCCTGGGGTTTGTGGTGGCCGGTTACTACCTGCACCGCACTGGATCTTGTCAGGGATTTGGGTGGTGACCTGGGGAGGGAACCTCCCTGGAGCTGGGCAGGGGCCAAGGGCCGAGTCCAGGGAGCTCAGCTGGATGGATACAGGCTGTGCTGTCCCAGCCTTTCAAGTCCTAGTCAGGGACACAAGTTACTCGTGCAGAGAGGAGCAGAAGCACCGCCTTGTGCTGCTGCAGGTGGCTGAGGGGACAGAACAGGTTCCGAGGGGCAGGCAGCCCATCTGCAAGTATCCAGTTTCTTTTCCTGCTTACTATGCAATGTAGAGCTTCTGTTTTTCCCTGGAGATAGAGAGGAGCACTGTCCTTACTCCGTCCTTAGGAGCTGAGCCCTCTCCCAGTGTCCCTGACCCTCAGTTAACAGGTAAGGACACCTATTTGCTGCTACGGACTCAACTTACCTTTGGGATTGTTCCTTTCTATTTCTCACCCCTCCTCCTTTCTCCTGGCTCGCCAGACACAGTTTTACTGTAAACACATCCTTTTGGATGGCTGTGTTTTCCCTTGCTGCCCTCTCCTCCTCTCCTGCCTGCCAGAGTGCTGTTACTGTACATAACCCCCCTTTGAGTTGGATTCTTTAAGGAGCTGCAGCACAAACAGAGATTCCTTGCTTTTTTTCCCCACTAAAAGATTCCCTTTTGCGCCGAATCTCCTTTCCTTCACTGCTGGTAGCAGTTGTTTCTTTTCCAATCCCTCACTCCTAAAACCACTGGCAGTTTTATGGATACCCATCTTTTTTTTTTCCTGGATGTCTTCTCTTTTAGCACGAAACGAACATTGGTGATTTTCAGTGTTAAACCTTCTCTTTTCCCCGCTTTCCTTAAGGTTTCCTCTTGCCAGGTTCAGTTCGCAGCCTAGGAAAATACCCAATTATCCTTATTTTGTTGGAAGAACCGATTCCCCAAATTGTTCATAGAGTATTGTATTTTTAGGGGAGATTAATTTTTTATAGCCACTAAACTATACTCATTATTTTTATACGTTTGCAACTTGGGGACAATTTAGCGAGCCGTGTCGCGGAGGGAAACGCTTATTATCGTGGGGTGTTTGCTTGGGAGTGCCGTGGTTGTGTGGTGCAGAGGCACATGCCTTGATGTGTGCTGGGAGAGAGAGAAGGATGCAATAAAAACGAACGAGGCTTCGGTGAAAATCCGTTTTTGAAGGGAAAAAAAGAAAAAGAAAAAAAAAAAAAAAGAAAAAGAAATAAGGTCATCCCGGAAGCGACACTAACCTTTCCTCCTCCTTTGGAATCCTGAAATGTATGGGATAAAATGCAGTGTAATGTACAAAATGCAAGGAGAGAAAGAACCCTTACTGTGAGCTAACTGTGCCAATACCGCTTCAGTTTGTAGTCACTGATGGAGATTTCAGTTCTAAATGAAAACGGCTTTTGATTAAAACAGAACAAGTTGAATGTCTGAAAATCCGCACCGTGTTTATTTGAGAGTTGTAAATAATGTATACAGATGGTTGTATGTGATGGGGCAGAATATTTAAATCCTAGGGTTGTTTTTTTTTGTTGTTTCGGGGTTTTTTTTTGTTTGTTTTTTTTCAATAAGAAACTGAAGGCTGTTTTTAAGAGAAAATAAATAGCTATGTTTGACCATGACTGTCTTCATCTCCTTCTTGGACTTGCTCCTCAGTGGTCCCCTACTTGTAAATAGATTTTTTTCCCCTCCCTGTATGTTGTGAACATCTGAGCAGGAGACACCCAAGGACGTTGTTGGGTCGCAGGTGCCCCATGAGGTGTGGACTCCACTTTTGGCCCAGCCCAGCAGCACAGGTGCCTTTTTTTGGCTTTTCTTTCTCCCGAGAGCTTCCCGTGACCCCCAGCAGCTGGAGGGCTCCAGATTTCCTGCCCTGCCATCCAGGCCGGGTTCTCAAGTGTCCTGCCCCTTGGTAAGTTCCTCACACACTCGGCTGGAGGGCAGTTTGGGAAAAGGTGCTTTAAAATCCGGCTTTTACCTCCATTTTTTACGCAAACCTGGGCCCACAGCTGCCTCGCTGCTGGTGCCCTTCTTTGGCTCAGGATTTTTCCCCGTTTGACTTGGTTCTCCTTGGGCTCGGTGTCTGTCTGGGAGGCTTTAGGGTTTTGTAGAATCCCACAATGGTTTGGTGTGGAAAGGGACCCTAAAGCCCATCCCATCCCAGTCCATCCCATTCCACCCCCAGCCACGGGCAGGGACACTTCCACTATCCCCGCCTGCCCCAAGCCCCGTCCAGCCTGGCCTCGGGCACTCCCAGGGATCCAGGGGCAGCCACAGCTTCTCTGGGCACCCTGTGCCAGGGCCTGCCCACCCTCACAGGGAACAATTCCTTCCTGAAGTGAAGAATTCCCGCCTAAAGCCGGGAATTCCTTCCTGGACTTCAAAATGCTGAGAAGCGGGAGCAGCTCCTGGCCCGCCTGGGCGCCATCGATGCGCTCCGCGCGCCGCTGCTCTTGCCTGCGGCGCGAGCCGGTGACGTCAGCTTCCGCTCCGGAGGGCCCGCCGCTGTCGCGCGCCAAATTTGAAGGCGGCGCGCGCGGGGCTGGACTCGCGCCCCCTCAGGCAGGTCTCGCGCCCGCCCCACCCCCCCCGTCCCCTCAGGCGTCCTCGCGCCCCCTCAGGCCGCCATGGCCACCCCGCCCAAGCGCTGCAGGCCCGGCGGCCGCCTCAAGAAGGTCGCCGTGGAGGGCAACATCGGTGAGTCGGCTCTTGTCGCCTACGCGAGGGAAAGGGATTGCGGAAGAGAGGGCTGGAGGGGAGAGGCGGCTTCCGCGGCGCTCGGTGCTTTCGGCCGTGTCTGGGGGAGGCAAAGCTCTGCGGACTCTGCCTGCCTGCCTCCTTCCTTTCTTCTTCCTTTCCTCCTTTCCTCTTCTTCCTCTCCTCTCTCCTTTTCCTCCCCCTTTCCCGTGTGTGAGGGCTCCTCCCACTACGGCAGAGCGGGACAAAAGGGATTCTTCCGTAAGATTTTCCTGTCTGTTTCCCTCCGTAAAAGGCTTTTTATCAGGTCAGGAGGCACAAAGCAAGCCCATTCGTAATGTCAGAGACTTTACCCTGACACCGTAAAAATGGTGAGATTTGGGAGAGAAAAAAACAACCCCAACTTTATATTTCAGTTTTTAACCGGCTCACCTGTTTGAAGTCCGGGATAAGCTTTTCCCCACGTCTTTTCCTGTTCGTGGTGTAGAACACCCGGAATCGCAGAATCTCCCGAGTCGGGAGGGGTCTCTGAATCCCACTCCTGCCCTTGCACGGCACACCTCCGAATATCACCAGGTGCCTGGGAGCGTCGTCAAACCTGTTTCAATTCAGATAAAGAAAACCCCTGTTGCTCCATTAATTGGTCTGGATCGTGGTGCGTGGGGGAGGAAGGCGGAGTTCAACATTAGTTGAATAACACGGGCTATGGGCGGTTTCTCACTGACGTTGTTCCTGGATGCTTTTCCTACAGCTGCAGGGAAATCCACCTTTGTGAATATTCTGAAACAAGCCAGCGAAGACTGGGAAGTGGTTTTCGAGCCTGTAGCTAGATGGTGCAATGTCCAGCAAAGCTCTGGAGACGACCGTGAGGTAAAAGAGGAGGAAAAAGTTCTGATGTTGCTCTAATTTCAGAATACCAGTATATCCAACAGAAGGGGTGTTTTTCAGACTCTGTGTGATAGCAACGCTTTTGTTGATTGCTTTAACAATGTCTGAGTTCCTCTTTTTCCAATAGTTTGTTTGGTCTGTTATGGAATAAGTGTTAATCAACATCAGGTGTAATTTCTGAAGGTGGTAAAGAGTTACAAGAGTTACTTGTAGCCACTGTGAACTAACCAGGTGAGCGGAGAGGGTTGTTCCTGTGCCAGGAGAAGCATGCTCTGAAACATCTTAGGAAATTGAAAACTGCTGCTCACTTGTTTTTAGCGGTGGGATTTTTTTTCCCAGCTACCTGTAATTCCATTGGCAATCCAGCTGCTACTTCCTCAGCAAATGGATTTTGAGGGACTGGCGATATCTTTAAGACCTGGCAAAAAGCACAGTGTGTTTTGGTTAACTCAGTGTCAGGTTTAACTGGGGCACTGCTCCTGACTTCTCCTCAGCTGCTTTTTATCGGGATCGGGCAGCCACAAGAGAAAAACAGGAGTTTTAAACCTTTCTTTTCCCGTGCATCCAGGAGCTGACCACGTCGCAGAAGAGCGGCGGGAACGTGCTGCGGATGATGTACGAGAAGCCGGAGCGCTGGGCGTTCACCTTCCAGACGTACGCGTGCCTCAGCAGGATCCGGGCTCAGCTCAACGCCCTGGATGGCAAACTCCGGGATGCGCAGAATCCCGTGCTGTTCTTCGAGCGCTCTGTCTACAGCGACAGGTGAGTGGGGCTGGAGCCCTCAAGGTGCTCCCCAATTGTCCCAAGTCAAACCCCAGGATATGTGGTTTCCCTCCTTGGAAGGGAGCTCTGTAGATCACCCAGTCCAAGCCCCCAGCCGAGGCAGGGTCACCCGGCGCGGGTGACATGGGAACGCATCCAGGTGGTTGAAATGCTTCCAGAGAGGGAGACTCCGTGACCTCCCTAAGCGGCTGTTCCGGCTCTTGGCCACCCTGGTGGAAATAAGTTCTTCCTCGTCTTGAGGTGGAACTTGTGTTTTAGTTTATGGCCAAAAAAAACCCGTCTGAAATGCCCCAACCTGCGTTTCTGGATTCAGAGGGTGAGACTTGATACCTGAATCCCATAATCCCTAGGTGTTCCTCCTGTTGTGACGTATTACAAAAACAATGTGTTTTAACTGAGTGTAAATAAGTGACACAGGTACAAGCCAGCCGTGTTCTGTGGGTTACTCCTGCACACCTGAGCTGCAAATGTCGGTGGTCTTCACACACACAGCTCCAGGAGGAGAACACCAGCTGTTTAATTCCACTCCAGCAGATTGTCAGAGATGCCGCAGTGTCAGCACTCAGCTTCTTCTCTACCGTACTTGAGGCAAACCGAGGGATTGCTGTGCCCAAGAGAATTTTTGTTTCCATCACTTTGATGTCCACAGGTACATCTTTGCTGCTAATTTGTACGAGTCTGACTGCATGAATGAGACCGAGTGGACAATTTACCAGGACTGGCACGACTGGATAAATAAACAGTTTGGCTCCAGGCTGGCGCTGGATGGGATCATTTATCTCCGAGCCACTCCTGAGGTGAGGGGTACCAAAAAGAAGTGTGTGTTCTGGGCCTTGCCCCTCGGTTAGAGCTCAGCTCAGGCTGCCCTGTTCGCCCTGCAGGCTGCAGTACTTGAGCTGTGACTAGGTCTGGAAGTACCTAAAGAAAGCGTTCTTTCCAATGTAGACTGTGTGTACTGAAGTCAACCCTGATGGTAATGATTTTCTCATTTTGAAAGCAGAATACACGAGAACAGTAAAGCAGAAAATACCGCTGGAATAAAGTGAGTGAGTACAGGAAAGTAGGGAATCCCTGTAGGAATAGCTCTTTGCTGAGGAATGCAGCTGTACAGGGATTAGATGGAGCAGTTTGCAGTCATGCCAGAGCCTGTCTGGGGGTGGTCTGTGAAGCCCCCACACCTGGGGAGCTGCAGCTGAGCCAGGTGGAAGCGCGCCCTGTACGCGAGGCCTTACGACCATGCTTTGATCTTGGGCCATCTGATACTTGTTTAAAAGGAGAGAACAGAATCATCTCCTTTGAGTATGGAACTTGCTTGAACTGGAGGAAAACATGAGATTAAAAGAGCTCTAATGAACTTACAGATGGCTTCCATATTTCCTTGCTTCCAGCTTCCATGCCTTCAGTTTTGTTACGGTCGTGAAAAACTGTGGAATTGAACACACTGGAGTAACTCTGAGGGCTTGTTGTTTTCCTATTGAAGAGAAGAACTTATATTTAAATTACAAAGTACAGCACTTAAACAATTCTGGCTTGTTGCTGAGGCTTTGGGCATGCTCAGGATGGGAACAAATGATTTAAAATGTTGGAAAAAGACCCAGAAACATCTTTTATTCCTATCAAAGTTCAACAAGATTTTGAAAAGCTTGTCTGTAATGTCAAGTGGGTATTTCTGTGCTCCTGGCATGCAATACAGCAATTTATTTATGTTTATTTACCGTCTTTTGCCTTTAGAAATGCTTGAATAGGATTTATTTGCGTGGAAGAGATGAGGAGCAAGAAATCCCCATTGAATATCTGGAGAAGCTTCACTACAAGCATGAAAGCTGGCTCCAGCACAGGACGCTGCGGTAGGCTTTGTCGAGTGGTTCCTTGAGGATGGATGGATCTTTGTAAGGATGTTTTCCCACCAGTGAAACTTTAAGTTTTCTTACGATACGTAAATCTGAACTGCAGGCACATTTCTGTCAGCGTTTCCTTAGCAGCAGTGTCTTTCCAGCACCTTCCACATTGCTTGGTTGTGCGGTGTGCTCCAAGCTCTCCTCACACAGAGCTCCGAGCAGCGGAGGCTTCAGCTGAACTCGCTGTAGTACCTGGTGTGCTGTTACTCAGCTGGGGGAGCAGAACGTCTGGGGATCTCTGATGGATCCCAGGAGCCACCCTGTAAATTCAGAATTCCTGGCTGTAATTTAGAGATGAAGTTCTTTCTGTGGGATTCTTAACAATGAAAATGCTGGCAGGGATTTGAATGCTCTCTGCTTTATTTCCTGCTGCTCATCTTAGCTTTGTTCCTCTCCCAATACAGAACAGATTTTGACTATCTGCAGGAAATTCCGATTTTAACGCTCGATGTTAACGAAGACTTCAAAGGCAAAAAGGACAGATACGATCACATGATTGAAAAGGTAAGATTTCACAGCAGTACAAACTCATGAAGTGCACCTTACCCTCTAATCATCCTTCTGAAATACGTAAGTCACAGAGCTCCATCCAGGTAAGGAACAGTTCTACAGCCTATGGCGATACATATCTTAAAGCCAGGCCAAACCATTATCGTTTAACTGCTCAGGTGCTCGGTACTTGAATCCCAGTGGGACTCAAGCGAGGACAACTTGACTTGGATCTGAGTAGCTGCAGTGGCTTACAGACCTCAGCAGTGGTTTGCACACGTTTTTCCATTCTTCAGAAATAAAATGTTCCTTTATCAGCTTTGTCCTTGGATCTCCATTGATCCACCCAGGAGTGGAAGTGTTCACCTGATTAAAACCAGTTTTCCTGGCTGGGCTTGGGAATCGATGGAGTGACCGGAGATGGCAGCTGTGGAGGGAGCGTGCTTCCATCTGCACAAGATGAGAGAAGGCCAAGCTCGGGCAACTTAGTATGGATTTTGGAGGAGTTTACTCTGGGGTAGCTGTCAGGTTATCTGGGACACAGCCTATGCCCTGTGTTGGCCCTGTTTTTTGGCATTTCCTGAGCAGAGCCAGGGAAGAGGTGCGCTTGATGAGGCTGGGTGCACTGGGCTGTGGCGTGTGCTCTGTGGGGAGCCAGACCCTGAGTCCTTTCTTAGCTCTGTTGTGCTGCTCATCCTGAAACTGCCTGGTGTGTAAATCCTGACAGGGTTCTCCATGCAGGGTGACTGGTGCTTCTCTCTGAAGCAGAGCCTGCCTTTCTTACGGTGCCTTTCAAGTTAGTCTTGGCACAGTGACTTGTTCCCTTCTCTACAGGAAGGGATTTGGTCTCTTCTTTTGTTCCCCACCTCTTTGAGCCCTGACCTGGGAAGGGAAGGGTCACAGTTGGAGAGTGTGATCCAAGATCTGTTTCCATTTCACATCGAGAATTTGGACAAAACGTTTACAGATGGGCTCTGTGTAGGAGAGCCTTTGCCAAAAGAGTAGCATCATCTCCTCTAGAAAACAGTTGCTTTCTGTGGAGTTGCCTGGCTTGAGTGGATTGAGGAAAACGCTCCCAGTTGAGGCTGTACCACAGCCTAGTTCCTAGGATGTGCCTGAAACTTAAATGTAGGAGTTGTGAGCCTGGCATTGATCTCCAGTATTGGATTTTCTCCGAGCAGTGTGGTTTTGGTAGGTATCACTTGGTTATTTCTTGGCCAGCTTCAGATTCCAAGGGACATCCTGGTTAGGTGCCCTGAGTCGTTCACCAGCGCTAAATCCGGCAGGAGGGTGTGACTCGGTGGTTTGCAAATGACAGCTCTTTTGAGGTGGCCATTATCCTCCCCCTGTCTGGTGACACCTGCCTGTAATGCTGTCCTTTCTGACAGAGGGCTGTAGTTGAGGACCACGGGAGGGGTGAGCATCATTCCATCGTGTCTGTGCCTGCATCTGCTGCTAAATTACAGGTACCGTGTCTGGAAATGTTCTTGATGGACAGGTAATGGCACAGCTGAGCCCGGGCTTCTTGTTCCCTGTTTTTTTAGGTTGTAGTAAAGCACAAGGCAGAGGAGAGGTCAATACACTTGCTGTCTATTTCTGTCGATAAACACTTAGTGTGATTGACAATATTTGTTTCTCTTTGCAGGTCAAGGAATTTTTGAGCACGTTGTGATCCTCTTTGAAGCGCAGAGAGAGTCAAACTATTCCAAACTTGTGTGAGATCAAAGTCTCAAGTGCGGCTTCTTCCTTCTTTTATAGGAGGCCTCTGGAGAGGCACAACTCAGCCCTGGTGATTTGGTTGTGAGGAACAAATAAACTTGGTGATTAGGGAAATGACTAAATAAATCGGTACGTCTGTTCAGCATTATGTGAAGTAACATGCACAAATCCTGAAGAGACAAAAGATTCTGAGCATTGCCAAATGCTCAGCTGGCTTCTGATCGGACCAATGAGTTCTAGAGCATTTTATAGATGTTTTTAATTTATTTCGTACCCAATTGCTATTTAATTTTGAGGAGGGTAGCTGTTTTTTTAGATCTCTTCAGTGTCTTGTTAGTCTCATGGATCTGTAATGGATGTTTTGTTGTTCCCAGGAAGTAAAAGGTAAAAGCCTTTTTTGCTGCTGAGTGAACTTGATTATAACCTGAAATTTTATGTTTTAAGGTACACAAAAATGTTTTCTGATGCTTTTGATAGAAGAAGTTCTTTGTGGAATACACTGAATGAAATCCAAATGTGACTGAAATTCTGTATATAACAAGTGAATTTTTATATCTGCTTCTATTCTGCACTGCAAGCCAGGACATTTGAGGCTTTTTGTTACCCAGCATGTTTGGGGCTTTTTTTTACCAATTATTTTTGGTTTTTCCAAAAACAGTGCTGTTTTTGTTGCTGGTCAGCCCCTTTCTCCTGGAGAGGAATATGTTTGCTTGCTAGGCAGTGCACTGGGCAGAAGGGCATTTTGCCAGCGGCCTCCATCTGTAAATGACGTGTTGCTAAACCATCCCATAATCGCATTAGGGATGTGAGAGGTGGCTTCCTGCCTTTGTTGCAGCTGCTCCATGTGTTCACTGAGTCTTGGGGGTGCTTATCCCAGATCCTGCACTGTTGGAAGTAGGATTTTCGGTCTCACCTGCTGGGAGTAAGAAGGGGAGACCTGTGAGGAGTAGTTGCTGCCTGAGCCTCTTGTTCCGGGTGCAGAGAACAAACTTGAGGCTGCCTGTCTCACGTGCTGGGTTTTGTGAGCTGCCTTGTTCTGCTTTAAACACTTCTGAGTGCATGGTGGGCTTCTGAAGGCAACATTTTATTGTAAAGCTTTTCATTGTCTACCGTGGTGCTTCTGCTACCTGCTTGTTTGGGATGAGATTTCTTCCTTTATGGCTGGAGTTGTGCTGGCATTCTCTAACCAGTGGCTGAAAAATAAAAGTGGTTGGAAAGCCTTTTTAGTGCCTAATAGTGTTGGCTTCTTGTCTCATTACAGAGGTAATACTGTGGATTGCTCGTATGTGATACTGGTACAAGAGCTGTATTTGGTGTAAAAGAGTTCTCTGAGATTTCTGAGAAACTGACTTCACTTTTTTATTTTCCATGGGTGTGAGAGATGAACTTACGGGACAGAGACACAGGATTACATAAAGTGCATCTTGTGTGTGTGTGTGTGACAGTGCTCAGTTCAGGAGCCTTGTATAATATTTATGTTGTGTGGAAAGCAGCAGTAGTCTGGCAGAAAATCTTGTGCAGGACTTGAAGGTTGCACACTAAAAGGAAAGATTTTAGGATCTTTGCTCCAGAAAGGAAGTGAGGTGGAATGGATGAAGATTCAGTTCAGATTTACTTGAGACGCATAGGACAAGCTTTTAAAGCATTCTTGGCAAGAGTCTGAACAGTAACAACTTATTTTGACTAACAGTGCAATTATTTCTACAGTTTCAGCTGTCAAAATTGTGGATTTAATTACAGGAATTGGAATGACAGTGCTCGTTGCAAGGAAGTAAACATGTCTGAGTTCTAATAAAGGCTTCTTTTGAAACCCATCACAGAGAGCACACAGAAATTCTGTGGCAGGTTATCTGCAGCCCGTTCCAGAAAGCTTTACAAAATCCCTGCCTGCCAAGTTTGGGTTGGAAGGAGCAAAGTCATGACCAATTATAAGAATGTTTTTAATTGCTGTGGAGGAAAAAAAACAATACCAAACCCCAAACACACACCCCACCGGCCCCCAGGCTTCTGGGGGATCTGAGAGTGGCTGGCCTGGAGCACACGAAGCTGCAGTTATTTGTATGTAGGACAGACAGCAGCAGAGATGGCCTGAGACTGGTGTGCCTGTGCCTCGGCTTAGAGCTCAGCTCCAGCAGTGCCTCAGCCTTCTGAACTCCTGTCAGTATTGCCTTTGCTTACATCTCTTCCCAGGCTACCACAAACCAGGATTGTTGTGTTGGCTTTTGCCTTGTAGAGATGAGAAAAGTTTCTGAGCTGGTGTCTGCTGTTTGGTGAGGATTGTTTTTCAGCCTTTGGGTGTTGTGTCCCTTTCTCTTCCCTTGGGTATGAGGTACTCTGATGGAATTGCCTAGGAATGCTTGCTTGTTTTAATCAAGAGTCGTCATGATTGGGAAACAGAATCGGGATGCTGTGTTTTTTTCCAGTTAGAAAGCAGATTGGAGTACTGCTTAGTTGTGTTTTCATGGTGTGAGCAATGGTCTTAATATTGCCTCCTTTTATTCTCAGTCCTCGTGGCTGTTTTCTGTGTAGTGGATTTTAAATTCTCTCCTAAGTTCATTTAAGTTTGTCCTCTCATCTCTAGATGCTTCTTAAAACAGCAACCGATTTTGTAGGTAGAACTTAATTTTCTATAATTCTGTGACAGTTCCTTGTACTGTTTTCTGTTTATTTAAACAGGCTTCATATTAATGGAATTGTTTATAAAATATGATAAGTATTGAATGGATTCTGTCCTTTTTCTAGTAATTAGATACTTGGGAATCTCCCTGTGAAATAAAAATGACCCAGGAGGAACTCACTGTGACCTGCTAAGCATAGACCAGAGAAGTCTGCATGTATGTAGCAGTAATTAGGTATACCTCAGGAAAACACAGCCTGCAAGTGCTCTTGGCAAGAGGTTTCAGCATAACCGAGTGTAAGGGCCACCAGGTGGTTTTTTCCAGCTCCTGTTTAGACTCTCTGCGTGACTGTGAGTAAATAAATCGCTCTTAGCTTCACTCTTTCTAAAATATTGATATCTCCCCATGCCTTCAGGAACCTGGGAGGATGCATTAGTTAATACCGATGTGCTGTTTTGTAGGTCTGAAGTGTGCTGCTAAATAATGGAAGAGAAAGGCAGCCCTGGTTTTAGGTTTTGCTCTGCGGTGTTTTGATGCCATTGGCTCGGATTCATGGCCAGTGGAAGTTACTAATTTGTTTTAAAAGATGTTAAAAGCCATCGGTGCAACGTCAGCTTTGTTAATTCACAAGAAAGCTGTAAGCGCTTGTGAGGAAGGGAAACTTAAGAGAAGTTTGGACTTGAAAGATAAACTGATGGCAAAACTGCAGTCCCTGTAGCCTAGTGGTAAAGAGGGGAAATCCATGCAGGAGTCTGCCACAGGAGGTCATTGTGTCTCGCTCCCTGGGCTGGCTGCAAGAGGAGCATTAGGGATTGAACAGCCGATGCCTGTGGAAAAGGTAAAGAAGGAAGAGCTCACTTCCTCGCTGGGCCGCAGGATAAATACCGCCCGGAATGACATAAATCTGGCTCGCCCGGAGGAGGGAGTGGAACAGAGCAAACCCCGCTGGATTAAGTGAATGACGAGGAAAGGCAGAGCCAATGGCAGGGGTTTGGTCAGCAGGCGGCCTTCCCTGCAGCCAGCAGCTGTTTATGTGCTGCGAGCGAGCATTAGCACATGGATAACACTAATCCCGCCGTGCCTAAGCCGTGGCAGCCTTCAGGGCTGAGCTCTCCCCCGGACACAGCCCCGAGCGGTGCCGATGCTGGCAGCCTGCTGCGAAGCCGAACACTTTGCAGTTCTACTGGCTGAGGCTATGCAAGTCAAGGTTGTACAGCTTGAACCATGGATGTTTGCTGGCTCGTAGTACTGCCTGGCTCGAACAAAAGCTGTTGGTTTCTCAGAGTTATTTACAAAAATGTTGCCACTGCAGCTCTTTCAGAGGACATCCAGTGCTTTCTCCCATCTTGTATTTTGTGCTTTTCTCTCCAATTTCCTGTTAAGTTGTTGTGACTTGTCTTTTAATAACTGCTTAGAAGCATGATCCTATACAAGCTGTAACAGACAAGTTCAAGCCAGTCTTTCACTCGGATACAGCCTTCTTGAGGATGTGGCTTCTGCCCTGCTCCACTTGGCTGTCTTTGGTTTTCTAGTCCTTCTCTCTGAGCAGTTCTGCTGAGTTAACCCATCTGGTCGCTGGGGCTTTTCCTGACTCCTCCTATTTCAGCACCAGCTATGGCTGTACGCTGCCTGCGCAGCGTGCTCCTTTCTCATCCCTCCCTTCAGATTTGCCTGCGCTGCCTTGCTGAAGCCGGAGCTGTTGCTCTCTGCTGAGCCTGCACTGCACCTTCGGTGCTGTCCTCACTGCAGCTCACGGCCTTTACCCCGAGCCCTCGGCCCAGCACGGTGGCCCCAGGTCAGTTGCCTGGCTCGTCGGTCAGTCACCTGCGTCCTGCTTGTGCTGTGCCTCGTGTCACAAACAGCAGGGCTTGGCTTTGTGGGTGTCCTTCCTGCCCTGCAGTGCTGCTGCTTTCCCCAGGGTTTCCTGCAATGCTCCAGCCTAGTCCTCTAGGTACTCCAGGTGTGCTTGTCCTTGCCAAAGTTTCTTTGCTGTCTCTGCTATGTTGTTGTCCAGAGAGCGGGTTCATGCCAGCTGACTGAAGACCTTTTTCCAGTGGGGGTTTTGGCGCAGCTCGTGCTGCTTTAGAGCGGTCTGGTTTCTGCCTGGGGAGACTTGTGGCACAGGAGTATAGCTCTGTTTTGTGGAACTGAGCGGTCTGAGCTCTTGAGGCGTACAGTGAGATTCCCTGAGGCTGGGAGCCATCAGGCACTCCACTGTCAGCGTTCCTTGTGCTGTTGTGCACGCACTTAGACTCAGGTTTCTATGGCTAGTGAGTGCCCCTGCTATTCTTAGACCTTCAGCTGTGAAGAACAGATTCATCTCGCAGTTTCAGCTCCTTCCTGCTGAGGTTTGCTCTTCCCCTTTGACATAACCACGGCTTGTGCACAGGACTGGCCTTTTCCTGGAAGGACAGTGTGACACTGTTGGCTTCCCAGCCTGTTTCAGCACTTTGGGATAGGTGGGACTGAGCTTTGGGGATGCTGTGGCACAGTACACTCTCAAAAGGAATTCTTGCTCTGTTTGCCAAATGTCATGGCTGTGTTGCACGCTTTAACTCCTGTGATACACGTTTGCTGTTATGTAGGTATGTAAATAATGGCCTTCCTTGAGATCTCTTAGTGACTTAGCCTGTGCCTGCAGTGGGACTCACGGAATTCGTCCGTGCCGGAGATGAGTCACTAGCTCTTCCTGCCTGAAAATTTCCTTTTCTCCCAAGGTTGCTCACCCATGATACACTCCAAGTGATAATGCATCTTCATTTTATGTTTTATTGACGGTCTGCACTTGCCAGTTGCCCTCAGATGAGGACACCTCCAGCATCTGGTTGCACTGTTGGCTTTAAAGACTGCTGTTAGCATTGCTTCTGGGATCGCCGGTGCAATCCAGCTGGAATCATATTGGCAGGAGGTCAGAAAGCATTGCTGGAAATGTAGCAATTGTGTTTGCTTGTTGTGCAGCACAGGCTGAGGATCTCTGGATCTTTCAAAGCCCTTCTGTGAAACCCTCCTTTTAGCCACTCTGGTCAGGAATTTTCTGTCTCTTCATTTGTTGTGCTGCCTTTGAGGGTTTTTTATTTTTCTCCTCTGCTCTGCTTGTCTCTAGTGCTGGAATATAACCCAGTTCTCCTTCCTGGTCTGTCACGCTGCTGCCCACGGACTGAGCCTTTGTATTTCATTTCCCTACACCGGCACATATGTTGGATGGGGATACCTGCACTGTGCTGCCATTTCACCTGCTCAGCTCTGAGCCTGGATATTTAGGCTAAAGTACTGGCTGTTCCCATTCTGATCCTTGTCTCGGGTAGCTGTAGTTGCTTCAGGTCTTGGAAGACATTTCTGTGGGGGATTAGATCTGTCCTACGACATTTCCTGCTGGCTGGAATAGGATGTCCCTGGAATCATCTTTTTTTTTTCACTAGGAAGCACTTAAAGTCTCGAAATTCAATGTAGACACTAGAATTCTTGGCCTCTTAATGTAAGTACTGATTTCCACTTCTGCTGCTTTGTTTCAGGATGTTTTCTTTGGGGATTTTGGTTTTTTGCAACACCCCAAACCTTTCAGTGCTGTCTCTGCTCTGGTTAAAAAGTTACATTATGTATTTTGGTTAAAGTTTTTGTTGTTACTGGGTTTTTTTTTTTTTAAAGGGGACTGTGGGCTGTGTGTAAAAATGAACTTTAATCTGAAATACTACCCAAACTGTCAGTAACTGCAAGTCCTTGGTTCCAGTGGTGACTGCCTGACAGCGTGAGGTCTTGGACATGTTGCTGTTGTGAGTTCGAGTCATCTGTGGCACCTGTGCTGCTGATAGCAAGGTGTGCCTGGAGGGTTGGCCTGGCTTTTTTAACCTTTTAACTGCTGTACAAGTGGTTGGGGAGGATGGCAGGAGCTAGAGGGAAATTGTCAGCTGCTGGTTTTTAAAGAGCAGAGGTTGAGATGGATGTTAAGGGAAATAGATTTCTCAATGAGACAGATGTTGGACGGGGAGATGCTGGTATAGTAGAGCTGATTCTCTTCTGATATGGCTCATACTGTTTTACTCATCTGGCAGGATATGAGAATGAGATGCCTTGGACTGAATCTTTGGCTCGTGTTCATTACTGGAGCTTCGTTTCCAAAATAGCTCCGCAGAAATCAAACCAAGAAGCAGATCCCAGAGATGGAAGAGCTTTGAGTCCTTAAAGGAAACAGTACAGCTGTATTCTGGGGTGAGACTGAGGTATTTTTAGGCTGGCTTTGAAGCAGGCTCTTGCTAAGTAGAATCCGTGGAGATCTGTGACGTGCACGATTCACCAGGAGCCTTGGGAAAGAGAGCTGGGGTGCCTTGCACACCCCAGCTGGGGCTAGCGGGGCTGTGCTCCAGCAGGGTCACAAACCCTGGTTCTGCTCCAGCAGCAGCGTGTGCTGGGGACATTGCTGTCGTCCAACAGCCGCATTTCATCAGTGCTTCTGCTCGGCATGGTGACGAGAGGAGACTCCCATCCACAGGATGGGGTTTTTTGGTCCCTCAGTGGTCAAAATGAGGGCTCTCAGCTTTCTTTAGAGACTCAGGTTAGCTGTCAGGTTTGAAACTGGTGGGCTAGCAGTTCTTAGGGTTGCTCTAGACCACTTTTACAGGAGCGACATGATTTTAAGGAACTTCCTGAAGGGTTTCTGTGTTAGCTTTTGCAAATCCTTTGGCCCTTGAAGTTAGCTTAGATGGAACTCTTGCTTTGAACTGCAAGACTTGTGTATCTCATTGGAATGACTGAGTGAGGGGTGGGAACAGGCAGTGACCTGAATAAAGCAGAATACGTCACATTACGTGCTGAGGGAATGAGGTGAGCAGGGACCAGACCAAGCAGGCTTATGGACATGAGGAGTAAATTCATGGCTGGAATTTTACGTCTGGGTTTGGAAGTACAATGCCGAAAGGTCTGCTCAGCGGTGAGGGGCTTCTGTTGTTTCTAAAGGAGGGAAGGATAAAAACTGACCTGTTTTTCTGTAGCTGACAACTGTACTGAGAGTTGGGAAGTGTCACCTGAAGACACACCTAAAGAGCTATTGCGGTGTATGGCGTTTCCCTCCCGTATCTGATGGAAAGGAAGAGGGACAGAGTGGAGGTTAGGAATGTTCCATGCTGCTAACCTGTTACCTTGAGCGATTGCCAAAGCTTCAGCACTCAGAGAGCAGGTGGGTGCTGAGTTCCTGCCTTGCCAGTGACACAGCAAAACCTCTGTGCTGGCTCCTGCCTGCTGGACTTGTGAGGAAGCAGCAGTGGGAGAACAAAGGCAAGGGTAAGTCCCTCAAGGAATTTTAATATCTTTGTTTTTCTCTCTAGAAGGTCTGCATGTCCCAGCCACTTCCCAAGGGAGGCATTTGCTGTTTTGCTCTTCACAGATGATGGCTGATGGGGCTGAGGAAGCTTACTGTGGGGGGATGAGGTTACTGTGAGCCTTCTGTGGTGATGAATTCCATCATGCCATGGCAGTTCCATATCTAGACCCAGGGCAGTGCTGCCACTTGAGGGTGGTGTGTGTAGGAGAAGCCGTTTGCGAGGGGCTGGATGCTCCAGTGGTGGTTGTTGGGTCAGGCCTTTACATCCCCACAGAGACAGTGAATAAGAACTGCTTTGAAGGGGATCCTACTGATGCTTGTTCCCTGCCAAATAAACAGGTTAATGACTAAATAAGGCCATTACAAACTTGGCAGCCTCTTTTGTTTTCTGTCTTCTGCTGGCACAGTTGCTTTGGTTGAAAAGCTCTTTGTGTCAGTGCAGGTTTTGCCTGGGAAAGCTGGAATAATTTCTTGCAGCAAGAATAAATTTTCACCAGGAAAGGCCGTGCTCAGCCTACAAACCCTTTGTTGGCATGAGGCAAGGCAGAGGTGAGCTGATCTCATGGCGCAGGCTTGCCCTCGGAGTGAAGGTCTGGGCACAGCTGTTTATTTGAACTGGGACTTAGCTAAGCACATGTTGTAAGAGAATGAAGGTTTGTTGTTTTCTTTTCCCCCTGGCACAGAGCATATTGTCAAAGAGGAACCCACCAGGTTAGCCTGTGGTTTCTGTGTTTGTGTTCTTCGTAGCATCTCCCAGTCAGGAAAACATGCTGCGAAAGGAGTCGGGAGAGAGCCCTCAGTCCCAAACCTGACGGTGTTTTTGAGGCTCTGTTCTCCCTTTCATGCCCTAAATATGGTGGGGTGAGAGGGAAAGTGATCTCTAATCCAGCTAAGCACACCTGACTCCGAACTTGGGTTTGTTTGCTCGAGATGGAGATATGCAGATGAGCTCTCTGTCAATGTTTAATGAAAGGGGTTAGGGCAGTGCTTTCCTCTGGCACTCATAAATTTGAAATACTTGTATTTTGCTTTGGATACGAGTTGTGTGGTTTTTCTCTTCCTTTTTCCCCTCTTGGTATCTGAATTCTGCTGGCTTAGAGCACAAGTGCATTCAGTTTTTACAAATCACTGATGGGAGAGGGAGAAAGGAGACGTTTAAGGTACTGCTCAGCCTCTCAAGCAGAGTGTGTGTCTAAACTTCTTTTCTGTGAGAAAGCTGATTTCCCCCTGCAGGCAGGTTCTGCTCTGGCAGGAAGGGGCATCATGAGATGTGGGATTGGGCAGACTTTTACTGCTTTGGAAAAACAAGTTCGATGAGGAATGTAAAACCAGGATTGTTGGGCTAGGAAGATGAAAAGTGTACTGCAAATATAAATAATGCGGAGAAGAACAGCCTCTGTGAAGTTGGCATTGCTGTGGCATTCAGAGATCCATTTCACCCTGGAGCTCTTTGCTTATCTGCTGTTGGTAAGGAATTGGGCATGTTTAGATGTTTCCTAAGAGAAGGAAAAGGGTGTTATGACTTCCTTGTAACGAAGGCATTTGCTTATAATTCATGTAGAGCAGGGAGTCTTTCTAGAGGCTGATGAAAATCCCCACCCCAGCCCCACTGCTGATTTCTTCACTTGTCCTATCTGCTGTTACAAATTGCTTACCACAGCAGTGCGCTCCTTGCCTCTGGCAGCCTGTTGCACAACCTCATCTCCAGGGATTTGCAGCAATGTTCTGATTAAATTGGGTATCAGTGTTCATCTATTTGTTTTTTTTTAAGGCTGAATGTGTGATACATGGCTTTTGAGTGGCTGGAAGAAGTCAGGAGGCAATAGAGAGTCATTAAAAGGTTATTGAAGAACTTGAAAGCAGCCTTGCTGAACTTTGGATTTATTTTGCTAGAGCAGGCCCCATCAAAACATTCTCTACTAGAGCTTGGGGATGATCAAAGACTGGCTCGAGTGAATGAGATTCCCACAAGTTAATAGCTCAAAATTTATTATTGACACACAATTGTATTTGCTAAGAAATAAAAAAAAAATTTCTTGTTATTTTTTGCTACAGAGGCAGTCTGCACCCTTTTTCTGCAGCTCCATCCTCCTGAATCATGGAGTCAAGGAATAGTTTGAGTTGGAAGGGACCTTAAAGGTCATCTTCTTTCAGCCCTTGCCCTGGGAAAGGGACACCTTCCACTCTCCCAGATAGTTCCAAGCCTTGTCCAGCCTGATCTTGGACACTTCCAGGGATCCAGGGGCAGCCACAGCTTCTCTGGGCAACCTGTGCCAGGGCCTCACCAGTCCCACAGGAAAGATATTCCTTCCCGATATCTCTTCCAAACCTGCTTGGCTGCCAGTGTTTTCCTTATTCTCCATGACTTGGTGGCTTTGCTTGACCAATAATAATTTCTTGCAGCAATAATAATTTCTTGGAGTTTGGCCTTCTGAGATGGAAGGGATTCCATCTAAATAGCGATGGTGTGATGCTCCCAAGTGTGGACTCTGCCAGGGGACTTACTGAACCCTTCCTCACAACAGATTTTTCTTCCTTATATTTATAGGTAAACTGGTGTAACTGGGACTTGGGTAACCTCCCAGTAACTCCTCCAGCTGTTTGGGTACCAGCTAGAAAGGAGCCAAAGGGGCTTCCTTCTTCCAGGAGGTTCTCACCAAGTTTAACTGTGTCATTTGAGGTTTGTTGGGCAAATGGTGTTTTTGTATGACTTACTATTGGGTTTACTTTCCATAATGATTTGGGAAAGCTAATTATTTTTTTCTCCCAGTCCAGGAATGATTGCTCATTCGTTCCCATCACTGAGGCACTGGTTGGAAATAGGCAAAGATTTCACAACTTTTTGAAGCCAACTGTGTTCCTTCCCTGCTGAGAGCCCTCCAGCACTCTCCTTATCTGCCTTAGAAGGAAAATGCAGCCTGTGTTGACATGCTTCATTTCACTTCTCCCTCTGACTCCATGTAACCTGGCCAGCCCAGGACCATTCATGACTCTCACTAGAGGGTTGTGAGTGGTTTGGCTTAATCCCATGTCCTGCTGTCATCAGGGGATGTCACCTCACTCTCCTGACAGCTCTCTCTGTAAACTGTCACTCTGTTTTCTCGGTGATGCTTGGATTTGCAAAGGAGCAGGGCTTTGAAACTCCTGACAGATTTTGCCACATCCTGCAGAGACTTGAGAAGCAGCTTCTATGTTTAGTAGTGTCTGGGGAAAATAAGTGCCCACAGCATGTAGCCAGAGTCTATAGTCACAGTGATTCCAAACACAGAGTATTGCTCTGTAACCACACACAGCACAGCTACTGCTCAGTAATCATTGCAGCTCATTATGGTTTTGGTTTCTGCTGTCTCATGGTTGCCTTTCCTGTCATTTCTTAGCACCCGGGGTCTGGGTTTTGGCTTTCTTCCCTAGGAAGATTCTCTGGGGGTTTTCTGTCTTAACAGGCTGGCCTGCCCACCCCAGGTGGCTGAGGGCCAGGGGGTGTCAGAGTGCACATGTAAGGCAGGTTTTTCTCTATAGATTTGGAAGGGAGGTCCTTACAGTACCCAGTGCAGTGGCAAGAGCCTGGCTCTATACCCAGGCCATTGCCAACTCCTGAAAATCATTCCCATATGTCGGTCCTTCTGAGAACGGTCCGTGATGCTCAGCTTCAGGATTTCCCAGACTTGCCCACAAGTTGAACGGTTTTGGGTGTGTGCATGTGTGTTGTGGGGCAGTTTGCTCGTTCCCATTGGCTACTGCAGCCTTGTCTTCAGCTTCTTCCTTTCTCCCGTGGTTGTGGTTTGGAAATGGACTGGCTAATCTGATGCTTTAATGATGGCCAAAATAGCCTGAGTCTCAGTGGTCAAACTGATTTTATCCACCTCCTACAGAGTCCTTTCTCCCTTTTCCACTTGGTAGTGAAGGGAGGTGTTGGCTGGATAAGCAAGGCTGGGCAGGAGCAGAAAGCCACAAGCTTGTGACACAGTAATGAACTAAGTGCCTTCTTCAAGTCCCACAGTTGCTTGCCTTGGCTACAGAGAGAAAAAAGCCCTTGTTGCTCTGTGGTAACCAGCTGGTCTGGTGTCCTGGTGGGAATGCACCTGCAGCAGAGCCTCAGGGCCTGCACAGCCAATTGAGATGTTGGAAGCTGAAGCCTGGTCCAGCCTGGCTCAGCCCCACTGCTGACTGTTTCACCTGGCAACCAACAGCAGCCCTCTCCTTGTTGCAGTGTGGCTGTGGCCTTTTCAGAGGCATCTGGGTGCAAGGCAAATAATCTCTTTTATTTGTTCTAGGCACCCCTGCAGCTCCTGGTATGGCTGGCAGTATCTGAGACTCTTGCAATCCTCCATCGTGCATCGCGGTGAAGCTGAAAAGGGACTTGCTCCAGAAGCACAAGGAAGGAGCAGAAATGCATCACAGGTAATGGGGGGAGTCCGTGGCTACAGCTGAGAGAGTTTCTTTCTGACTGATCCACACCCAGTGTACGCTTCAGCAGGACACTTAATATTTTAGCTGGGCACTTTAGTTTGTGGTTATATGATGGGAAGAGAGGAAAAATATAAACTGGTTCTCTGGTGTCAAAGTAAAGCAGACATTCTCCGGTGTCTTTGGAATTGGGCTGTGGGCTGACCAAGTGTGCCCTGGGCTGGTGGGAAAATATCTTGTGGGAAGAAGGTCTGCAAACCTAAAGGAAAGCGGGGTTAGACTCATGTTCCGTGCCTGCGTAATGCTGCAGAAGAAAAGGAAAACTGGTCCCTGCAGAGTGTGAGATGTGGTGTTAACAACGGGACACTGTCTCTGAGCTGCCCTTACAAAGAGTTTAACTTGGAGACCTGTCAGCAGTTAATTACAGTTGACTTTTAAAACAGTCTTTTTTATAGGTAAAGAACATTTTATTATTAAATCTGCACTTAACTTCACAGGCTCAGGAATTTTGAGGGTTTTAATTGGTTGCAGAGGCAATTTAGCACCTAAATCCCTTTAGAGATGAGATCATGCCAGTTCTTTCCATAACAAGAGTGTATTTATTTCTGCTTTTTAGACAACTGCCATTTTTTAACTGTCTTTTGGCTCGGCTACCTAAAGCCAGCCTCTCTTACTGCCACAGTCTTCTGACTGTGCCTTCTAATTATAAGGCACCCAGGAGAAATTCAGTCTAACACTCTTTCTTCAACATGTTGTTACATCACCCAAGGAGAGATCAGAGAGATAACTCTTTGTCCCAGGTAAATTAGAGCAAGTGGAACAGCAGGTGGCATCACTACTTCTCAGAAACAGTGTGGAGGTACACTAGGGAGGAGAGGACTGGCTGGCCTCAGAGGTGCTCCACTGCTCCAGGCTTTGCAACAGCTGGGTCCCAGGAACAGACTGGTTGTACTTCGGAGTGGTGGTCTTCTGAGACCATGTAGTGAGGTAGAAACAATGATGGCTCCAAGTCACACTGCTGTTTAACATGTCCTTTCCCGCTCTGGTTTCTGGAGCTGCTGAGGAAGTGTGCTGGCTCTAAGACATCAGCATTTTTTGCTTAGAATCATTTGCATTAAGTAATGGTTTGAAGGGCTCAGGAGAACACACGAGGGATGGATATCTGTGGGAAGCAATCTCAGTGCTGTCTGAAAACAAGAGACTCGTAACATTTCAGAAATTACCATAATTTTTGGGTGTCCACAGTGGGGTTTATCCCCTTTGGTACAACCTCCCAATTTCTAATGGGAAATAACCTGCATGATGGAAACTGAGGGAGCTGAAGCACCTTGGTACTGCTGAGAATCTCACAAGGGGCACACGCAAAATGGATTTGCTGCTCTGGAAAGTGTTGGCTGGAGAAGGGGCCACTGGATGGAGCTCTTGTGCTGTGGATGGCCACCACTGGTTACCTGAGAGGCGTGACCTGTACCGGTGAGGAGTTCCACTAGAAAACCAGTCTTTGAACAAGGTAAGGGGCTGGGATTCCAGTCTGATAGCATGGTGGTGATACGCGATGATGCTGTATCGCTTTATGAGAAACCCACACCTCCTGGTCAGGAAGGGAAAGTTCAAGCAGTGTGATTAGCTGTGAGCATTTGGGAGACCACACTCATCAAGGTGGGCTAACAGGTCTGGCCCACCACCCATCTGAGAAAAACCCAAGTCTGAAAGGTGCCAGGTAAAGATTGGGTCTGAACTGGTGGCCCTGAGCTTTCAGAGCCAAACACTTTTGGTTCCCAATGAGCTGCTCACCTGAAAAAATCAATAAAAGTTTTCCAAATGAAAGTTTTCCAGATGCAAGGGTAATAAATCCAGAAAGCAGTAGTTATCATGTAGTCCTCATGTAGTTACTGATATGAAACTGAAGCATTTCAGAGAAACATGATCCTGTTCTCTGTGGAGATGTATGGTCCAACTTCATTCCTGTTGTTGGCTGGAAGGTGCAGAATTGCAAACTCTGAGGCTGACACTGTTGGGAGCGGGGATTGCAGGGAGCGAGGGGTCAGAAAAGGCCATGTGGTTGCATTTGGCTGTAGGTGATGGTTTGAAGCCGTGTCCTGAAGGAAAGTGCTTTTAGCAGAAAGATTTCCAAATGGTGTTTGCCCTAGTTTTGACAAAGATGTTGGTCAGGAGGGAATTTTAATATGATCAGTGCTTACAGGGGCACAGTCTGAAATAGCTTAAAGGGTCCACCTTTTCTTCTTTCTAAGTGAAAAAGGGGAGGCCTCTTCTTCAAAACCTACTTTGTTTTAAACAAGACTGAGTGTATTGTTTGACTTGACTGTTGGGTTTCCTTGAACTGAAACAGGCCATTTCATGTCATTTTATCTGCCTTTTTCCATGCATTTAAAACAGAGCCGCTGCTAGTTCCCTGCCTGGTTAGGAGTTAAAAGGACAAGTGACATAGTGCTTATGGGATATACTGTGTATTTTTAAGACATGGAGTTCTTTCAGAGGAAGGAATTAGAATTGGAATGCTTCCAAAATCCAGTTTTAATAAACTGTGCGTGACTTCAAAAAGGAAAAATTCCTTTCTCTTCACTTTGTTGCTCTTCTCATGAAAAGAGTCAGGACCTGTGTGCATGTGCCTACATATGGGCATGCTGCATCACCACTTTGGGCACAGGTTTAGGATACTGACTGGTGGGATTGTAAAATCACCTTTCAGAATACCTTGCTTTAAGGGTTGTGACTCGCCTCCTCTTTTCACTTTTGTTCACCAGTTTGGGATAATATTTGCAAATGACTTGTTTCCAAAGAAAATGAAGTGTTTACTGCAGGAATTTGAGGCTGCCTCAGAGTTGCCTGGGATGGACCATTTCAGGTGTGGTTATCCAGCATGTTATGTGCATCCAGCACTTTGTTTCCTCTGCCTGCAAAAAGTGCCAAGGATATCACACGTGGCTGGTTTGCCCCCTGCCTTTCAGGGGAGAGCTAACCCTGCCTTTCCAACTCTTAGTCCTGGAATTATTTGTTAAAAATTCCTGACTGACTATTCAAAGCCTTCCTTATTCATGACTGTGCAAAGGTTATTAGGACAATTATTGGGAGCTAGTGGTAGCCAGAGGGCTGATAAAACACAGCCGAAAGTAAACAGTGACGTGGTACAAGGTGTCACTCTACTGAGGCTTTTAGAGTGTGCTCCCAGCTGCTGTACCTGCTTGCTGCTGTTTGGACAGAACAAGGCTTATAGCTCCCTGTTGTGTGCTGGTCGTGGGCCACACACTCACCTGCCTGTCCCAGCAGGAACCGCCTCCAAAACAGCTTCCCGGGGCTTGGGTTGCTGGCTGTGGGTGACGAGATGCTGCTGGGAGAGGGGTAAGGAGTTGAAAGAGGATGTGGGTCACATTTTTGTCAAGTTCTTTGTGGCGTATGCATTATGGCACGATGCCTCTGGAAAAGTAAACAGCACTTCAGGTTTAGTCATGCCCTGTGCTTATTATAGTCCTGCTGAGGGATTCCAGCAACTTGCCAAGTGCCAGTGCCTAGCACTAGATAGGCATCCCAGCCGCAGAGCCATCTGCCTCGTGGGTTGGGAAGAGCCTCTGACAGCTGGTGGAGATGCTGGATGGGAAGAGCTGGTGCAGAGACAAATGACATGCTAATCTCAAATCGGGAAAGGGGGTGATCCCAGCCGTGCGGGACGGGGATTTTTGCCTGGCAGGTGTCTGCAGACCCGCTGGCTCCCCAGAACAGGCGTTCCTCTCTTTCTGCCAGTGCTGGCCTCGTGCTCCCAAATCAGTCAGCACTTGGGCAAAGTGTGAATAGAAATTACATAGCTGAGAATCTAACTGTGCCCTGCCTCGGTGCGTGTGAGAGTCATCGGGAAGGTTAACGTGGGGGTTTCTGCTTTGTAAGCTGCAGAAAAATCTTCCTGCTTGCTTGCTGAGCTTTGCCTGCAAGGAGTGTGTAGAAAGCACATGAGAAAGCTCTCCAGGGAATGAGCAGCAGAATGGGCTTAGGAAGGACAGAGTGCTGTGCTGAAATTGGGTTTTCAGCAGCTGATATCTTACAATATGAAGTTGCAGGCCAAAAATGTAGAGACGGAATATAAAAATACAGCAGTGAAAGTGACTTTCCATGCTAATGGCTAATTTTGCTTTCTGTTTTTAACTCTGCCCAGAGTTAGCTTTGAATCTACTTACATGATGATGAAGACATCAGCACTGCCTGGTTTTGCGAATCAGGCTGGCATTTAAATGCAAGCTGAAGTCTATTTCTGTAAGTGTGATGCAGAGCACTCTCACCAAACTGTTAGAATTTCCTGCTAATTGTAGTGCTTCATTTCTGGCCAACTGCATTCCAGAATGGCCTCTCTCTAACGTGCTATTTACTGACTCTATTTTAGTAGATAAACTCTACTAAACTCTCCAGCTTAGCAATAGCAAATTTCTCTTCCTTGTGCAGTGTTCTAAATCCCCTTTAAACTAGAAAGAAATCTATAGACTGATGTGGTAATTTTGATTTATTAACTTGAGGTAGGTATAAACTCTTCCTGTTGGAATGTTGACAATGTTTGGCATTGAATGGAGATGCTGGCACATACTGTATAGGAGGCCTGAGATCTGTAATAAATACAAAGACCATAAATATTTAAGGCCTATTACATCCCATCCTGCCTTTAACACATCCTTTAGTACCATTTAGTGGGAAATAACTTAAAGCAGATCTAGGAGAAGAGCTTAAAACGAGTCAGTGACACTCTGTTACTTGTGGAAAATGGAAATAAGGTTCTAAGGCAATGCAGACCAGCTTGGTGCTCCCTGTAGGGTTGCGTTTGTCAGCACATGCTTGGCACAGGAACACCTGACCCGGCTCTTGGGCTGGGCTCAGGGCAGCAGTCGTGCTGAAGGGCAGAGGGGGGCAGCCTCCAGCCTCCACAGAGCCTCCCTCAGACAGCCCATCCTGTCTCTGGTTTCATGTTCTGCAGTCCCAGAGTCACGGTGGGAACA